CTAGCAAATGAAGAGACATCCATGCACTATCGGCGATTGCCGACGGAGTTAGTCGTCATTGATTAGAAGTCAAACAGTGAGCGAGTTGATAATTTTCCCTTGGGCTGAGAAAACATAACTAAGGTGTTTTTGATAGATAGGCTAAGCGAACCGACGTTCTTACGGAAGTCGATTCTACAGGGAAGCTAACGTAACACCTTATGTTGGTTGGTTAAGAGTTCACCTCAAACAACTAAGCATATGTCGAAACAGTATAGTTCAAGTATTCATCCACTTCCTCATTTTGTATAGGCGTTATATTTCCTATCATCTTATATTGAATGTTGAGAGGCTTTGTTTATCTGAACAAACAAACCCCACTATCCACTGTGACTGTGTGAAGATCTGAACAAAGACCTATTCACTAATTGTCTGGTTTCTTCTATCAATAGCACGAGGGTTACCTAGAGGCACAAAAGTATCTACTCATTTCCGTAACTATCTACTTAAACTTCCCGATCTCCCATATTGTCCGAACATTCGATGTACCTATATTAATTGTCACTCTGGCTATTAGCACAAAGTGTACTCTCAAATTTCTGGACAGAAACTTGTTTAGAATCCCAGATAATCATACACACAGATATCTAATATGAAGAGAATATCAAGTAGAAAATGGGCAGACTGACAATAATTGGGCATAGGGATCTTTTGCACACTGTGAATGTTGGTAATAGCATCTGTCCATAGTTATGAACAGGCTCATCAGGAACTCGAAAGTCCTTCTTAATCATGTGACTTCGGCCAGAATATGAACGTTTAAACAATAAAATATCGTTACGCTAATGCATTTCGCTGTCCATTATGCACAAGATTTCGTACCACAACTATCTCACTAGTGATTTCTTGGACACAAGCACCCGTTAGATCAGAAATTAACACATTACGAACCTAAAATGACATTTCCGGACGTTGGAAGCGGTCAGTTCTACTTATACGAGACGATGGCCTCGAGCAACTCAATTCTTTAGTCGTGTCACTCATGTAGCCATATCGACAGTCTCAAACAGCTGACTCATTGGTTTACATCCCAGTTTGACAGTTGAAAATATTTATGTCTGAGTGAAATTTTAACTGCTGCACCTGGAGCTCTTCTTGGGCTACTGCCGGTCCCAATCCCTGAGAAAGAAGGTGGGCTGGTCATAGGGTTAGCGACCCCATCCCGTAGAAAAATTACTTGCTAAAAACGCTAACCAGAAAAAATAACTCAAACCACTTAAACTCCGTCCTGGGAGACAGGTCCTCATTTAGAAGAGTTACGACGCCTCATGATGAAAGCCGAGCTCCTTCGAAAGCCACGAGGTTGATGCATCTTCCGACAACCATTTATTTAGGTACATGGAATGTTCGTACAATCTGGAAGACCGTGAGAGTCTTTCAAATTGCTGCAGAAATGAGGAGATACAACCTAGAGGTGCTTGGGATCAGTGAAACACATTGGACAAGTTGGACAACAACGACTAGCTTCAGAGGAGCTTCTGTTATACTCCAGCCAGGAAGAAGAAAATGACTTACATACACAAGGAGTTGCATTTATGCTGTCCAAACGAGCACAAAATGCACTTATAGGATGGGAATCTCATGAACCAAGGGTCATCAAAGCCTCCTACAAAACAAAGAAAGAAGGCATTGCGATGAACGTCATCCAATGCTATTCGCCTACCAACGACCACAATGAAGACGCTGAAGATCAATTCTACAATAGGCTGCAGTCAATCGTCGAGAAGTGCCCAACAAAGGACCTGACCATTCTGATAGGAGATTTCAACGCCAAGGTTGGAACGGACAACACTGGATATAAAGACATCATGGGACGACACGGACTGGGCGAAAGGAATAAAAATGGTGAGATTTGCAAATCTATGTGCCTTAAATAAGCTGGTCATAGGCGGCACCATATTCCCACATAAACGCATTCACAAAACCACATGGACTTCACCGGATCACACCAAGCAAAACCAAATCAACCATATTTGCATCAACAAAATGTTCAGGAGGACGATGAAGGATGTGAGAATAAAGACAGGAGCTGATATAGCATCAGATCATCACTTGCTGGTCGCCAAGATGAAATTGAAACTCAAGAAGCACTGGACAATGGGGCAGACAATATCACAAAAGTTCAATACGGCATTTCTTCAGGATACTGACAAACTCAACAAATTCAAGATAGTCCTCAGTAACAAGTTCCAGGCCTTTCTTGATCTACTCAATGGAGAAGGAACTACTGTGGAGAGCAACTGGAAGGGGAACAAAGAGGCAATCACTTCAACATGTCATGAGATCCTGGGTCACAAGAAGCACCACCACAAGCAATGGATCACTGTTGATACACTGGATAAGATTCAAGAAAGAAGGGACAAGAAGGCAACAATCAATACCAGTCGAACAAGAGCAGAAAAAGCCAAGGCAAAAGCTGGATACACAGAAGTAAACAAACAAGTGAAGAGGAGCATCAAAACTGACAAACGTTAACATGTGGAAGATTTAGTAACAACGGTGGAAAAGGCTGCAAGAGAAGGAAACATGAGACAATTGTATGACACGACAAAGAAACTCTCTGGAAATCGCCGCAAACAAGAACGACCAGTGAAAACCAAGGAAAGTGAGGTAATCACCAACACTGAAGAACAACGAAACAGGTGGGTAGAACACTTCAAATAACTCTTGAATCGACCAACTCCACTGAACCCACCCAACATCGAAGCAGCACACACGAACCTCCCAACCGATGTTGGCCACCAACAATTGAAGAAATCAGCATGGCCATCAGACAAATCAAGAGTGGCAAAGCAGCAGGACCAAACAACATCCCAGCAGAGGCACTAAAAGCAGACATAGCGGCAACTGCAAGAATACTCCACATTCTCTTCAGCAAGATTTGGGATGAGGAACAAGTACCAACAGACTGGAAAGAAAAACGTCTGATCAAAATACCGAAGAAAGGTGATCTCAGCAAGTGTGATAACTACAGGAGCATCACTCTTCTCTCAATACCGGGAAAAGTCTTCAACAGAGTATTGTTAAACAGGATGAAGGACTGCGTAGACGCCTAACTTCGTGACCAACAGGCAGGATTCCCGAAGGATAGATCGTGTACAGACCAAATCGCAACTCTACGGATCATTGTGGAACAATCAATTGAATGGAATTCATCACTCTACATCAACTTCATTGACTACGAAAAGGCATTTGATAGCGTGGATAGAACAACACTATGGAAACTTCTTCGACACTACGGCGTGCCTCAGAAGATAGTCAATATCGCACAAAATTCATATGATGGATTTAACTGCAAAATTGTGCATGGAGGACAGTTGACAAAGTCGTTCGAAGTGAAGACCGGTGTTAGGCAAGGTTGCTTACTCTCACCCTTTCTCTTTCTCCTGGTGATCGACTGGGTCATGAAGACGTCAAAATTTGGGGGTAAGGATGAGATACAGTAAACAGATAGGATACAGCCTAACGATCTAGACTTCCCAGGTGATATGGCCCTCCTATCGCACATGCAGCAACAAATGCAGGAGAAGACGATCAGTGTAGAAGCAGTAGTTCTCAACATACTATTGGGGAGAACAAACCAGATCTCAGCGGAGGAAGTGGATAGAACACACATTGAGGAAGGTATCCAACTGCGTCACAAGGCAAGCCCTCACATGGAATCCTCAAGGCCAAAGGAAAAGAGGAAGACTCAAGAACACATTACGCCGAGAAATGGAAACAGATATGAAAAGAACGAAAAACAATTGGTTGGAACTAGGAGGGAAAGCCCATGACAGAGTGGGTTGGAGAATGCTGGTCGGCAACCTATGCTCCATTGGGAATAAGAAGCATAAGTAAGAAATCTTAAAACTCAATATTCAAAACATTCCAATAAAGTAGCACAGAGCTACTAAGTTTTTTGATATACATGAACATTCTGGTTCAGCAGGCGTTTTGTGACGATATGAAACAGCGGAGAAATCAGTACGGTATAAACATCTTATGGAAGGATCTAACTCGAGTTCAGCTTTAGGAAGATAACAGTCGACCAATACCGAACTTAGCAAGTACAAATTCATTGATCTACAACACGCTTGGGATTTATATACGTCAACACGAAAGTAATAATCAGAAAAACTGCCTGGGACCAACGAAGTGAGCCGTAATACTAATACCACACTTCGATTACACATATGTCCGATCACTATAACGTATGATCAGAGCAACATTTACATGACTATGCAAAATTATCTTATGCTAAAATCTGATTAACTGAAGGTGAGCATTTACGTATTTGGCATCCATCTCGAAATCGTACAATCTTTTCGCATTCAGTGTGCTTACTTTACCTAACTGGCTTTATTCATATTAACAATCATGCTTATGAATTTTATTGTTTAGAACTTATATTATAATACACATTTGTAGTGGAGGATCTTTGTTTACACTAACTGAAGTTACGAACTCACAAAACCTCGAAGATAGTAATGAGCTACACTGTACATGTATCACAAAAAATAAACACATAAATGGACAAAAGAAGTAAGAGAATATATTACTAAACATTTGATAACAAATAAAATTGTACTCGGAAATCATTATTAGCACAGAGCTAAACAAATGCGAAGATTGAGTCTGAAATATCAAGGTATATGATAGAAGGATGTAAAATTAAACTAGAAAAGAATAAAATCCATAATGCTTAGTTGAAAACATCTACATGCACAAAACACTGGGTGTAGAGGTAAGTTATACATAAAGTAATAAGATATCAAAACAATTCATTTAACTATACTAGTAAAGATTTTAGATCAATCACTGTAAAATAGAAATAAACCTGAATTTAAGCATACGAGTAAAATAAAACACAAACAATCTAAACGACTAAAATCTATGTACATGTAGTATTTTAAATTATCCAAAGAGAATGAAAACACCGGATAAATAGTGTTGAAGGAAATAAAAATTGGTAAGCAAGCGTGACTAAATAAGCACAATGAAATGCAAACAAATGACTGTTACGACCAAAACTTTTGACAAGTACATCCATGAATTACTAAATGTCATTTGTTCTATTTGTGGCTTTTGATTGAGTCGTACAGTGCGACGATACAATTTGGCGTAGATACGCTTTATAAATTTGTCCCATAACAGACTGAATACATTTTAGCCATAGATCAACATTCTCGTTGGTCGATAAACATTCGAGTGTAGATGAGTCTCTAAGTTCAGTTATAGCAGCTCTCTTGCCTTTCTTAACAGAGGAACGAGAACCAACATAGGGATGAATAAACGATCCCGGAGCCGATAGACCACGTGTACGACCAGGGCCATAAACTTCTGGCGAAAATGATTGTCCAGATGACTGAGATACTCTAGAGCAGGCATGGGAACTTTGTAGGCCACTACGAAGAAACCAATTTAATGCTCCACTGGAACGAATAGTGTCAGGTTTTGGTAAAGAATTGGTTGTAGGGTTTTCTGTGGGAAAAACCATTGGTCGAAAGCGATAGGTTTTGCCTAGAATGAAGTCAGTCAGCAAAAAGGAGTCTGGGTCTAAAGTACCATTTCGATGTTTACCAGGCTCTGCTTTTGCAGCCATGAATAATAAGTTGGGATTTGGAAGGTCATAAGTAGTTTTAAAATGAATATTAGTACAGATCTCGGATTTGCAGTCTGATTCTGTTAGAAGCTCCGAAACCTCAGCTACGTCTACTTCTGCCAAGTCATCAGTTGGATTCCGTAGTTTTTTAAAATTATTCCCTTTACTCTGACAATTGAAAGCACTAATTGCAGGAGGACTAAACAGACAATGGATTTGGCATTGGTGAGCCTGAAACTGAACAGTAAAAAGCCATCAGAATTAGAATTTTTGGAGAACAATGTCAATGAAGAGACTTCACCAATAAACAATATTTCTTTATACACATAAGTCTAAAACAAAACTGTGATACTTACCTGATTGCGGTAGACTGCATTCTTTACTTTTGGTTCAAAATAAATCATGTAGGCAGTGAGACCATCACCTACCATTACCAAAGTAGCCCACAAACGACGCCATTTAGAGAACCCAGATGGTCGACACGCAGAGGATGGATTGTGAAACATTTGTCTTGTAGCCGTTGATCCCGAGACAATCACTGAAGAACCGGATAGAGAAGAATTAGAAGCATGCATTGACGATGTAAACATAGCACTATTTGAACAAAACAGTGTCGAAACTTTGATTGGTATTTGTTGTTGGTGTGAAACGGTATACAGTTCGACGTTGAACAACACCTTGACATATAACTCTAACACCAAAATAGTCAGGGACTACTGATGAGTATGAAATGCACGGACTGTTGTTGACGTGTGCCTCCGTAGTTGATGAATTTTGTTTGACATTTGGTGATTCCGGTGGAGTTGATGTAGCAAGTATTGAAAAATGATGTTCAAAAGATTTATCTACAGGAAGAGTGATAGCATAAAAAAGAATATATAGATACAATTCACATCTACATAAAACGAAAATTCTTGGAAATCATTCGAAGTAGGGTAAAAGCATCACTCATGATGCAGATGATGATAAAATGTACAAATGCATATGCTTATAAAAACTTCAGATAGAAGTTTGTGTTGATGATGTCGTTCAAAAGAACGATGAAAGCCCCACGACCAAACCATCCAGCCCAGAGAACAAAGCTCCGTCAAAATCATCCACCTGAGCTACAAATCTTTTCCACGTTTGTTTTCAAATACAACTTAATTCGGTGGCCTATTTACTACATTCCTTATGGACCATTATTTCTTTAAATTAAAAATAAAACATTTAATTACTATGATTTTAATTGAAATAATTAGTTCTACAATTGAAGCAAACTGGAATACATAATCAGTAATAAAAAACGTAGGACCTTGAAATAAATTTGCATGCATAGCGATGGAGTTGAAATAATAGCAATATTACTGATAGCAATAAAGAATGAAATGGTGAATATGTTGTGAAGAAAAAACGAATAAAAGTATTCTTGTCAGTATTATCCCACAGACTAAGGAATGCATGGATTAGGAATAGACTGCCATGTAAGGATGGCAAATCAGTTGATCAGGTAATGAATCTGCATCAACTGAAGTGGTTGGGACATTCGTTACGTAAGCTTAACTACAGCCTACCACAACGAGCGATTTTGTTTGGCGTAGAAACGGGCTGGAACAAAGCTAAGAGAGCCCAAACCCAAACACGGCGTCAGTCCAGACTACCTAGATGATGTCCATGTGAATGACCGCTCAAAATCGTTTGCAATGGTGCAGGTGCATTCGTTATTTGTCTTTCCCCAAATCCTGAGATTCTAAATTTATCATAACTTTTCTTCGTGTTTTTATTTCAATAATTTATATTTTCCCGAATCAAATATTCGATTTCTAATATATTTTATTACCACTGATGACTGTTACTACCTCTACTATTCTAGGATTTGTCAACTTGAATCAATGTACATAAGTACGAAGTTTCAAGTTGTGACTGATTGGTATCGATTTTATACTTAATTGCAAAGGAATATTTTTCTCACTCAATTTGTACTTTTTTAAAGTCTGAATGGGAATATATAATGAACAGAAACTATTTGATCAAATAATCAATCAAATAAAATGCCCAAACTACATAAAATTAGAAACAACAACTAGACCTAAACATACAAACAGTAAAGATATGCGTTAACGTAATTGTGATTTTTAAAAGAAAATGAGTGAACCGTTTGCGAGAAACAAGACACATATACAAAGAAAGCAAACTGAATGAAATTTCGAGGGACTATAAACAATAAGACGCGTATGTTCCAAATTGGACAGATGATTGAATATACAGAATCATCATAATTATTATCATTTCATATAATATAGTACTATCTTGTGACAGAATCATTCCACTTGAGACCAACCGGTTTATGTTTTTGAACCCCTGAACTGTAGATATTCATATGCGTGCATGCGAACATCATGTGTGCAAACATTTTTTTAATTCCTTGCTTCTTTTGTAAATGCTGCCATATGATTTGTTTTGATCGATTTTGACTTTGTGACAAACAGACAGGCGGTATACAAATGAGCGAGAAATATGCTTAGAGGTTAATAACCAGATAGCTAGGTAGATGGTCAAAAATAAGATTACCCTATTTCGACAAACAAAACAACCAATAATATAACTGCCACATGTTGTTAGTGTCATGGAACAAAACAAGAATAGGAAGTTAATACTGTTCACTAATCAGTCAATAAAAAAGTGTTTACACTTATTGAACTAGACTGTTTCCTTATACTTTTGTTCAACGCTTTTTTGGTATGTATTTGTGTATACAAGGCAAACAGGTAGTATATATACATAATAGACTATGTCAAATAAAAACGGGTTTTATAGGCCTATATACCTGCGATCAGTTGGCCCAGACAGAGTTCGTGCAAAACCCCATAAACTGATCAATTCAGTACTCGGAGAATGCAAAACCTTACAATAAACAATAATTAAATCAGGTCATATCCTACAGGCCCAAGCAATCAGGAAAAAACTTTGAAACTAGGATTCGTATGCAGTTAACACTGGTTAGCAAACCATATCTATAATTGATGCATCCCGTATGATTCGAAACCTGCATCATCTATCAGACATGTTGCTACGATGCTATTTGGAACACGATTGACCCCTCAAGGAACTATGATATTCACTGAGTATTAATCACTATCCACTCGAAAATTTGTGATATGGATGATGATAGAGATGAAAATAAATATCATATAGGGAGTATTATAAGTCACTCTAAACAAAATGATTAAAAATAAATTGTCACCTGATGATGGTACATCGTCAAATTTACCACAGCTAGGATTTATCGCCGCTACAGATGATGACGACAGTGGTGCAGGTGGTGTGGTGCATGAAGCATCTACAGCACTTAAAGAAGTTGCGCATGCGGCTACAGCAACCGCTGACGAGTTGAATACATCATTCAGAGAACATAAACTGAATTCTGACAAAAGATTAGTGCTGAAATTGTTTGAAAAAATGTCAAAGTATGAGAATAGACTTTTTTAAATGTAAAAGATTAGTTTAACAGAATGAACAAAATACAGAAAGAACTTAATAACAGGTTATTTAAAACTAAGACTTAGCAATGTTCACATGAACACGACTGCACGTTAAGTCTTTGGTGAATTTTGATAACAAATTACTGATAACATTTGACTGCTTAAACAGGAAGTGATAATGATAACGTTGTCTTCTCAGAGCTAGATGGTTTAACAGTGAATAATCATAATAATAATAATACTAATAACAATACATGCTTTGTTTAGTACCGCATGTTTGATTACAGCAAAAATATGATGCAAAGTTGCAACAAAATTTGCATTTTTATGAGCATTTAACTTGTAAATATTCAAAAGACATACATAAAATATTATACAAGCAGTGATCAATTATCATTCATATTTATATCTGTAAATGATTACGATCTGTTCTATTCATTTGACGTCTCTTTACATTGTCGAAAAGATATTTGGTGCATAAATTCTATCGTAATAGTATATTGTTTTACTGAATGTAAGATGAGGAAAATACACAAACGAATGTGATGGTACATCTTCAGTTTTTCAATAATTAGATAGGTTGAAAATTTCTCACAAAAGCGTATAAGCATACGCTGTTAACATATATAATTAGCGAATCAAAGCAAGTCTGAAACACAAAAATTTACGGGAATAAATGTGGTCCATTAGTATAAAGAGGTTGTCATGTAGTTTTCATTGTCAGTCCGAACACCATTAGCGTCCATTTCATGAGTCAGTCAGTCAGCCACAACGTAGGACCAGGAACATATGTGCATTGGTCCAAGTTGCCACACTTCAATAGCACAACAACATAAACACCTAATTCATAGAAAGTTACTTCAATGGTAGTAATATACAAAAGAAAGATTATATATAAGGATATAGTACAGGAAAAAAGACTTTATGGATTGATGCTACGTTTTGGTTTGACCGTTCCATTATATGAAAAGAAAGACACGTGAAGCTAGTACACTATTACAAGTATAACCCCGTGTTGAAAGCATATATAAATGATTACTATGTGTAGCTGAGACCATTTCATTGAAATCTCAGCATATAACTTGTAGCTCATAGAGCTTTACAGTCATTTAATAGATGACATTGAAAATGTTGAGGCAATCCCAAAAGTGACCCATCCAATGAGGAGATAAATCAATGTAGTGATGCTTTATCTGTTTATCATTTTCATTTCTCGAAAAATTCTATTCACACAATTTTGACCAATAACTAACATGAAGATATCAAAATTGAAATAGATACACTCTACATTCAAGATTATTTTTCATGAATTAGACAATTTTTTTTCTACTTGTTCACTGCAATGCTAAATTAATAACTTATTTGTGATGTAATACATCCCCCATTGAATTTCAAAAATAAATACTTTACAATGTTTATAATTTTATTGGATAGAATTAATAGAAAGTAGACAATACCTAATCAGGTATAATTAATTATGACAACTGAACTAGGTAGGGGGAATCGGGAAGAAAGCTAGGAACGACCAAACCAAAACTTAGCATTAATCCAAAAATTTATTGATTGTTTTTCTGGATCCAGCTAGTTAGCATACACTACCTAGTTAAGGTCAATATAATAATTGTGATTAATGGTTGAAAAGGTTGGATAACATGGTCCAGATCCTGTTGTGATGGAGGAAATGTATTTACTCTGTTTTATTTTAGATCCTGAGCCTTGATATTAATTTACGTTCATAGAACATAATGATTATAATAAGAGGTGTGAAAGATGACTTACACTGATGACGTAGCTGGTATATTTGATTGTGAAACATCGTTAACAGGAAGTGATCCACTAACAGAAAACGATTTGCAATAATTTGTAGACGATAACTTTGGACTGGTACATAGGTCAGTTGTTACGAGTGATTGACTGAGATTTAGTTGTTCAGATTTTAATTCCGATCGACTAAGAGTAGAATGTTTTGTTTGTTCACAATCAATAAATGGTCTCGGTGGAATTGGAGGCAACTGTGAACTTTTATGTTCAGGAAAAAGAAACTCCAATTCTTGAGTACTAGACTGGGGCTCTGAAGTGCATAGGAAATCGGAATCCGTCACCTAATAGGACAAAATACATAGTGAAGTTACACTAATAGACAATTAGAAAATTCGGATTTATAAAAACCTAATAAGTGAACAATCAATTTTCAAGCGGAATTCCATGTCAGTTGACCTTTAACAATTGAGGTGATTTCGATACATATTACACACTTCCGGCATCAATTTACTTTTATACAGCACATATAATGAATAGACATTATTGCAAATAAATGGAAAACAGATTTGGATCTAAACATAAACAAAGCAAAAGGAAATTTTATCCTGCTATTCAGCGAAAAACTCAGAAAGAACAGTTAGCAGTGAGGAGCATAATAACATGGAAGGAGTTGTAAAACACCAGTGAGTCATGACCAAACACAATTACCATTAGTTTGGTGACATCACACCGCCTATAGCTATTCTAGGGTTACTAACGGTCCCAAGCCCACACAAAGGAGGAGGGTTCAGTATGAAGTTAGGAACCAATGATAACAATGACGACGATAGAGATCAGTTTTATGAGTAGCTGCAATCGATCATGGAGAAGTGCCCAGAAAACGACCTGACCATTCTGATGGGAGACCTAAACCTCGAATTCAGAATGGACAACACCGGATACCAAGATATCATGGAACGACATGGACTAACTGGAATAGGAGGATGTGAAATGGTGAGAGATTTCCAAATTCATGTGCATTCAACGAAATTCCTAGTTCATGTAGGAAGTAATTTCTTAAAGATGCACTTCTAAACTATTTCCTAGACTGTCGAGTACAGTGTTAGCTTAGCCATTGTCAAGCAAGTAAGCTATGGCTCTGACAGACAAGTTCGTACAGCGAAGTTGAGGACGGCAACCGAAGAAGTCGTTCAGGATGTGTGAAGCTTATGCTTACTTGAAGAAGCCGAAAAAAGCTTGGACCAGATTGCCAGGTGAAACGTTGGATTTACTTCAAATTCATTCGCTGAGATTTTACAAATACATTCTTCCTCTTTAAAACGATATTCGGTTAGCTGACTCATTTTTCCTATCCTCTAGTTACTGTTCAGCATGTTATTTACGTCTCTTTTTCCCTGTCTAATAGCCTGCAATAATTGTTTAACTTGAATACTAACAGTGTTGATTTATGTTTTAGAAACATATAGTTTGACAAGCCAAATAACTTGCCTGTTTTGACTTTGGTTGAGCTAAGACTCTGTGCTCAACGATCTAGGGAATAGTTTAAAATAACATATATAGGAAATTACTTCCTACAGCTAAAAGGGGCTAGGTTCTATATATGTACAATACAACTATTAACAACAAGTCGTTCTACATTCGACCTTTTATAGTCAGAAGGAAGGAATGAAAAATGATGTGCAAGGAAGCAAAGGAGAATATAAAGAAAGTTAAATTACCATTCAGCTGAATGCTGTCACTGAATGTGAGAAGTAGGTAGTTTAAGTTTCGTGAGGATTCATTGGCTAACCATATTGTATCGTTCAGCATCATTAATCGATCAGTACTGTACTCACCAGTTCATAAACAAACAAAAGCGCACATCATAAATTAGAACCTGCTAATTAATACTAGATAACCTAAAAGGCACATCTGCAACACAGAAATCAAAATGTCAGTAGATATTTTTCTAGTTCAGCAGCGGGTTGACCTTAAAAACCAATAATATAAACGTTTACATACGAATAAAAGTGACCAGATCACACTGAAATGGTATCAGTTTGGCTAAAAACCTACTACTGCATCAAAAGTGAACGAATGTAGTATAAGTATGTCATTCATCATACTATTAATATTTATGGATGAATGAATGGATTTCCTCAATTATTTGAAGTATGATGTTCTAAAGAAATGCACACATATAGCACACTAAACCTAACGCTCAAACTGATTCTTTAGAATCTTTAGATAAACGATAATTTGATAACAGGAAACGCCCACCACCACAGCATTAACTTTCTTTGACCCTGTATGACTATGCATTGTCTATTCACCAACAATGCAGAGACAAAGAGAACTGGTATGTAACGTTTACGATCTATGAATACGAAGAACGATCTATCATCAATAATAAGTTCGTCAGTGAAGGTGGATGATGTCTAGCAGTGGAATCCAGGACGCGTGTTTCGTTTTATTTAAGACTCATCGGTTGGATGTACCTGAGGCATTACTGTTGTTTACGAAATTGAGAGGACGAAAAGCGAATGTCCGTCGCTTTAACCGGGTTGGTGGATATAGAGGATCCACATAGGGGTGGGGTCAAAATCATCTTGAGATAACTATAAAGCAATTGGTTATATATATATATATATATATATATATATATATATATAATACTAACCTCAATAATATGTGTCTGGTCATGCGGTGTAGCTGACTGAATTATTTACTGGCGAAACATTCAGATAGTGAGACTATACTGGTGATATTTATTGTTGTAGTCCCATTAATCTCACTATGGGATTTTAGACCACGTAAAATTAACTTTTCTAGAGTGCCTAAATTTGCGCAAGATCATGGAACGTTTAAAGTTAGACACCAACACTGATGGATACCAGCTCAGTGATATACAGGTCAAGAGTTCGCGAGCGAAACAGACCCTGAGTTAGAGCGCCGTATGCTAGATCGTGGATGCGCAGTGCTGAGTCACATACCAGGACGAAACGGCCTTATTGCTCCCAGGTTTTCAATGGTGGTCGAGCTTAGATCTACTTGAGAATTCAACAGCGAAAATTTTATGCATCAATAAGTTTGTCATTTCAATACCTAATTGATGTTGAGATGGTGGAGAAGATTTATAGCTCAGGTGGATGATTTTGGTGGAGTTCTGTTCTCTGAGCTGGATGCCTAACAACATATTTTCAATTCAACAACTAAATCTACGAACAAACGAAAGGTCAACAAGAACCAATCAACATCGAGGTGCACAGAACAAGCTGTGAAACACATATGGAGAAATTCGAACACTTCACTTCTATCTGAAGTTTGTGCTGATGATGTCGTTCAGAAGAACGATGAAAGCTCCACGACCAAACCATCCAGCTCAGAGAACAAAACTCCATCAAAACCTAATTGATGTATTCCAAAACTAAATACGACTTTTACCATTTACATATTAATATGCTTTGTGCAATAGAGATAGTTCGATCATGTCAGAATATAACTAATTTAATGTGTGCAATCAGTCGAAACCCACTGACACTCTACATAAAATTGTATTTAAACATCCATATTAATACAGAATACTTGGGTTCTTATTAGTTTTATGTAGCTCAATAACCAAGTAAAATTTCAGGTACTCAGTTTTAAGTCAAATTTTTGTATGATAATTACTAAAACTAGTCAATTGTTTAAAAATCAAATTACTGCATCTGTATAGTCACGGGACTATATTACTGGTGACTCAACAAAACATTCATTTGAATGGATTCAACTACACAGGAAATTTAGAAAGTATAATGACAACTCCAATTCTATGAATATCGACGTCAACGTATTCTGATAGAAGGGAGACCAATTACGAAAATAGTAACTAAGAATTAAAGAAACACACTCTTGACTGTGAGATCAAGTCTAATTTAAACTGTTGCTACATGACAACAAAAACACAAAGGATTTTAAATCTACAGGTAAGTTAAAATGAACTTATGTTGAGATTATCAACATGCAGATATTAATTCTAAAAAAGTGTTTAATTTAACAGAGACTTAGACCTACATTTAGGGAATTTTTAGTTTTAGGTCTAGGTAATGTGGAGAATTCTTTCCGTAGATGTTGTGATTGAGATGTCTCGTCTTTAGTAATGCCTTCAGTTTGTTCCCAAGATACTTTACGCATAGATTTGAGTTGATCGGTTTTGCACTCCAATAATTTGTTTGAATTAGAGACTTGTATGGAATTGTTTATATGATCATTTGAATGTGTAATGTGTTTCGTCATCAGTGTAGGTAAAAGATCTGCTTCGAAACTAGAATTAACTGTTGCACCTTTACATGAGACATTAGACCCATGACGACTGTGATTTTGATAATGATGAGAATTCTTTGTATTATGAACGAAATTTGACAGCTTTGACGGTGATCGGAATCCAAATCCACTATTCCGACCGTCAAATGTTAACCCAGTATTGTTTGAATGACATGCGTTTGTTGATGAACTATTTTGGTTCTTTAAAATATTACTACTGTCTGGATTGCTATTATTGGAACTAGAGATGGTTGAGGAAGTTGTTCCGTATATTTTCTGAGGTAAATATGACAAGGATGGTGTGGGTAACGTAGGAGGAGGTTCTAAAATAAGTGAAGTTTTATAATTATCTTCTTCTAGAAACTTCTGTAGCTCTTCTATGTAGCGTTGGGCACATAGATATGCATTGAGAGTTTCATCCACAGCAAAGGCTTAGTAATTTGAACAAGAAAGAATGCATTAAATCTCTAAAAATTCCAAATCAAAATTTTTAAATGCAAATAGAATGGTAACAAATCAAGTCTCTTGTGTGGTAACCTGCCCCCAAATGCCCTGGTATGGCCCAGAGTGGAGAGAGTCCGCTCTCCCTCTCGAAATTCTCTCGTAAATAGCCTCTGACAAGGAAGTCCCACTCACTGCCTTCTCGCGCCATTACTGTTGTTTATGAAAGTAAGAAGACGAAAAGCAAATGTTCGGCGCTTTAACCGGGTTGATGGATACGGTGAGTCTACCCAGGGGAGTTGGAAAACCCTGATTCCAAACCAATGGTGAACATGGGCTCCAGTATCCTGAGTGAACAAATGGGGTATGGACCAATTATTGGTCACCGGCTATCATGAGACTGCATCTCCTTACGATGCTCCACTGCCTTGTGGATCGGACCTTCAGGTCGAAGGCTCCGGGTGCGGTTCACTAAGAAAACCACCTGGTTCGGTCTGGACACCCGGGCGGTATAACAGAAATCACACAAATCTAATGAGACGACAATTATTTCACGAAATACAACGCTTCTTCATTAACGACGACTAGACTAATTTTAAGGCATTAGTCAACGTAAACGAGAGGATTTTTTTAAATAGCTGTGAAAATGTAATATATTAAACATAGTTGACATGTGCGGTTTATTGAACAGTACTTAAAGATAACTCGACAAGTAAAGTATGGTACGGAAAATAACATTGAACTGCTTGATTACTGGGTGTCTAAATAGTAAAATGCAAAAATAAAACGTCAGTTAGTCTTAGCATATAAACTGAATAATCCTAACTAATAAATATATGACAAGATCAAAACATCAAAAAGAGGCGTTAATTCAACTCACAGTATTCAGATTGTTGAAAATATGCTATTTTATCAATAATCGAGTTGATTTTTGTGAACCATACGGCAGTTGGTTTTCCATTTATACGCGGTTGAGCCACATTTGTATACGTTAAATCAGACAAATATAAACCTAAAAATTATGATTAAAAAAGACACTCTAATAAGTGGTAGCTAGAAAGCATGTACGATCTAATTCTTACAAAATTCAGTCATGATGGCAAAATATAACAAACGAGCGGAAACCAGAATATAAATGTTAAAACAAGCAAATTAATTTCCAAAAGTCTAATTGTTAATGCAACACACTTAGTAAATTACATCTCTTGGTACGTAACCTTAAAGTACACTGTAGTGCTATTACTTGGTTACCTGAACCGAAGATGGATTTGGTGTCAAAACTTCGGACTAACACACAACTTTAAATAGTACAATTAAGTAACCGTTACAACTGCATTAATAAAGAAAACTGGATCGTAGCAACTGATACTTGGAAAAAGTTGTGATTAAGTGTAAGGTCAACGTCGTGATTGGTAAGAATCGTATGTGAAATACAAAACAAACGGACGCATTTAAACTGCATGCTAAGTATCCATTAGCAAGACTGACAAGTGGATAACATTTCGGGAGAAATTCAAAGAATATTTCTTGCTGAAAAAATATCATACACGCATCACAATTAAAACAAACTAACAAAAGGAGGGCGATCAACAAACAACCACCCCATATCTTACTGTAAATTTCGGCTCAAGTGAAGAGTCACTTCATAAGATTATTAGACACCTTAAAGATGGAAAACATGTCTAATATCCCATGACTTTTAATAAATGCAGAGGTCAGGAACGTACAAACTTTCACAAACACATCAACGAATTTTACTAGATATACGACCTACCATCATTTAGGCACAAGTTGGGAAGTCATAGATAAATATTTGGTAGATTAAGAATTAGGAGAAAGTAAACCGAACCGTATTTTACTGACGACAGATTAATTGCAAGTCTTAATTTTATAATAAAAGTGGTACCTATAGAAAAATACATGAATCCTGGCATTTAAGTTATTTGAAAGCATTTATATTGTGACGGTATAAATGATGTCTCGCAAAGACAAAAAACAAATGACACGAAGCATATGAGAAAAAAGCTATGAAAGCCAAGTTACTAAACTATAAATAGTAACTCGCGGAGTGCACCATACGGGACACGATGAAACTCACTACTGTGAGAAGGCTCAAAATAGCAGCTGGCAGTTTAGGGTTTAGTAAAATACAATACTTCATAACCTGGAAAAAGGGATGTGTAAAATGATGAGCTAAAGCTTCCGATTGTTCAATCAAGATAATCAAACAAGCATTACCTAGGTAAGGGATACCAGGAAGACTGATAGAATTCATATGTTCACGCTGTCTGCGACAATTATCATTCTGACTGAAAAGCTCTTCCAGACGCCTGTACGCTGCCCGATCTTTGTTACCGAGACCAGCCCACGTGTGCCTCAAACGATAAATGCATTCCACTTGTAGAGCAGATATTATTGACATGGCAGAATACAGATTATTGAATTCCACAAGTTTCTGGAGTAAACAAAAAAGGAATTTCATAGGCTGTTTGAAAACATACTGTGTTCAGTTAAATAGAAACAATATATCTAAAACAATGTCTCGGTAACTTTAAGTGGTCTCAGTTTCAGTTTGGGAAGGACAGGAGGCCTGGTGGCCTGTGTTAGTCCTGGCAATGGTGGTCTTTCAGTTGGTCTAACATTCTTTTGAAAGAATCGACGGATGGAGCCTCAACCACGTGCTGAGGTAATGAGTTCCACTCGTTGATGATTCGATGAGAAAGTCGATAGTCAGCTGATGGGAAGGGTGCTTCTATGGTATATACATAGGTAAAGTAGTTCGAGAACACTTGAGCCTTAGCAAAGTCGTCCTCCATTAATGATGAAGCAGTACTGTCTCCTCATAGAGCAGGAATATTTCCTCTTCTCAATGTCCTTTGGTTTATATAAGAATACAAGCGTTTAGGACATTCTATGGATTCCTTAACAATCTTTTCTTTGTACAACTTTCTAGACTTACGGAGGGTTGAGGCACAAGTATTCCGAGCCTTTCGATACTGAGATTTTGACTCATCAGTCCCCAGTAACCTAAATCTATCCCACATTTTTCTTCTCTTACAGAGAAATATGCGGACCTCCCTAAAGACCCATGGTGTGGAGTTTCTCGGCCCCCTTGGTATAGTCCAAGGGATGTGGGGTGTGGTAACTTTTAAGTATGAATCTCGAAATGCATCCCAGGCCGTTTCAACTGAGGACTCTGGGTCTATAGTTCAATCTACTAACGATACTGAGTGCATGATACCTGGTATATTTGCTTTCCAGACGTTAGGTCTGGACTGGACTGACGCGTGCTCATGACTGGCAGTTATATGGAAGTCGAAAGTTAAAACTGCGTGATCACTTTTACCTAGGGGTGGCATATGATGGAGGTTCGCAACATCATCCTCATAGTCAGTGAGTATCAGATCTAATAAGGATGATTCAGTGTCCGGGTCGTACCTAGTCGCTTCTTTCACATGTTGCACTAGAGCACATGTGATAACCGCATCAACTAGTTCCTGCTCGAAGGAATTTTCTGACGATTCAGTTCGCAGATTTTCCCAGTCTACCATAGGTGCATTAAAGTCCCCTAGGATTAGACATCGACCACTTTGGGACCAAGTATTGAGACTGCTTAACAGGATCTCATTTGCCTCACAGCTTGGACTGCGATAGACCAAACCAATCAGCAGCTCTTGTCCCTTGCATTTTAAGCGAAGACTAACTAATTCACACGTCCCACTCTCATGGGATACACTATCGATAATGGCAAATGGGATAGCATTCCTAATGAATAGAGCTACTCCCCCTCCTTTGCGCTTTTGTGTTCTGTCGGCCCTTACTAACGTAAAGCCCTCGAAATCAAGTTCTATACTATCTATAGCCTGTGTCAGCCAGGTTTCTGTTACTGCGATTATATCTGGCTTTGTAGAGTCAATCTGTACACCTAGTTCCGATCGCTTATTAAGTAAGCTTCGTGCATTGGTGTAACAGATCCGAAGCCTGTTTAAGTGCCTTCGTGCTTCACCCAGAGTGGCTTCGGCATCATTCTCTGTCGAAGTCTTACAACCCGAAAATTTACAATTTTCAGGTCCTTTTCGCCAGCGTCTAACCTATGTTGTAGTTCTTTCTCGGCTTCCCGTCTTTTAACACGGTCTGCCAACGGTAGGTCCTTTCGGATAAAGACTCCTGAACCCTTTAATTTGTGTCCATTTTGTAAAATTAGGTCACGTTCGTTCGAAGAGCCGAATACTACTTTAAGCAGTCTGGAATGATTTGGTTTCGAGTCCGTTAGACTCCCTAGTCTGTACACCTTTAGCAAGGTGACCCCGGTCATATTTTGAGGCATGAGTTGATTAAGCAGCTGCCTAATCAGTACAATGTCATGCTCAAAACGAGCTTTAGGTTCAGAGCTATCGCTCTCCTTGATTCTATGAAAAATAGCTGATCTGTCGCTATGATCAGCTTTCGATTTTACAACTACTTTCGCGGGGGTAGGTTTACCTTTTATATCGCTACTATTTTTCTTCCTTACAACCTGTACCCACTCGTCAACGGTGCTGGTAGAAGCAACAACAGTTGCGTCAAACCTAGTGTTGGATTCTGGAGGGTTGTCGACGACCTGAGAGGTCAGGTTATGTTTACCGCTTGAAACCGATCGAGCCTTGCGATTGCGGCTTCTAGACGTTTCTTGTGGGATCGCATATGGGCGACGGGGAACAGAAGAACCTACTTTCCTTGAGCTTTTGTTTAAGGCAGGCCCCTTTGGAGACTGCTTTCCCTTCTTTGACCGGCGTGAGTCATCTACTATAAACTAACCTTAGTTTGCTTCATGTCGATTTGTGTGTCGACAGATCGAGTGCTGTTTGACGTGTTCCGACTACGCTTGCTAAAACACTTCTTTGCAGCATCAACCAGTGAGATGGCCTCGGTTGACAGGCTGTTTGCATACGAACAGCATTGTTGACAAAGCCATACACAACCCTTCTTACTGAACCGTTTGAAAGCAGCAGGCGTTAACTTCATGCAAACTTCACGGTACCAGCTTTTGCACTCGTCTCACTGCATGCCGCTCTCAACGGGATAACGACAAACCGGACGTTGGCAACTGCATTTTTTTTACACTGTCTGGTCAATTAAAAGGAGTACTTTTCAAAGAGGAACGAGATACGATGATACTCAGAAACGAAAAAATAATAAATGACCAAAAGTGAAGGACTGTAGATTGTTAGGACCAAAAGTACAGATACAATTGAAAGTGAGGTACTCAAGAGTACCAACGACAAAACTAATTGAGAGAACGGTAAAAACGGTACCCTAATCGAATACTTTAACTGAAATGAATTCAATTAAAGTGAAACCAGTAGTATTGATACGTAATAAACGATCAGAACAATGCAATTTACTCAGCGAGGAAAAATACCACTGTCCTTTTTAAATAGCGTGCGTACCAAGACGAAGTTTGACAGACTATGTGATATTATAGTGCAATACAGTTTAAAAACAAACACAAACTTACTTTGCAAATTTTGATAAAAAATGACAACATCTCAGTTCTCTTTGAAACGCATGAGTATTTTAAAATTTCTTTTTGAACCCAGAAATTAATCTGAAAACGTTTAGGCACAAACATAAATTACTTGATTAAACCATCTGGTTGAGGCAACGATATTCGGAGCGCACAAGTGTTTTTCCCTGCCATTCCATTTTAAACTTGCAAACTCCTAGAGAACACCTTAAAAAGTCCTCTCTACGGCTTACCTCTCTATGTATGGCTTTAAAGTACGAAAGTTCTATCAAAGTGATTTGTTTCTGTGGTGTTATTCATATGAAAAACTTACTGCAAATTCTTCAGAGCTGACTTCGTAATATCAGCAAAAGCTACATCTTCAGCTAGAGAAGAGACTGGAGTCTGGTCCGATGTCAGAGGTTGATAGCATCCTGTTGACTTTACATACTCCATCAAAATCAATAACTAGATCTGTACAAATCCTCAAACAAATAAGAGTTTTCGATTTGTGATTCTTCCACTTATTATAAACTCAGTACGTCTTAGGTTGTCATTCCAAACTCAGAAAATCCCGCCGAAGAAGAGAGACGAAAACAGCGCTTCGGTTGTAAGCTTAAACAATTAAAAGCATATGCATTAAATGAAAATATAAGGATCTGATTTGAGTTTTGTAAGCAGTAATTTTTTCGAAAATAACGTTGCTTGTGACTTGAGTTTTGAGCGGCAATTTAAGTCAAATAGCAATGCCTGACTTAAAATGTCCATTCCTGTGAATCACGTAGGAGCGACTAATATTGTGTTGGTAAGTAGTAATTATTTCCTCTCCAATACCACCGATTGTAATTTGAACACTATGCTCAGTATATGCTGCCTATCACTAAAGACGTGTTGGTCATAAATTGGTGATTTTCTAGTATTTGTAGCAAGTATCAGGAATTTTGCACTTTCACAAAATTACTTGGTTTTTTGAGCTGTCTTCGCACTTCTCACTTGTGCCAGTCTCTCGTATTTTGTAGTCTTTTTGGGAGCTAAACCTCAAATGTTAGACTTATTTTTTGTGATAACAAGTAAAAATTGAGTTTAAGTTCAAACGTAGGCGGAAACTGCAAACTTAGTTGTTTTTACCATATTCAGTCCACTGGCGTTCAAGCGACGTACTCACAAGATTTGGCAGTTGAATTTTGCCCCCTCGTTTGTTCGTATGAAAATGTTAAGCGTGTGTAGTTACCGATATGGAAGATTTGGTCGGATAGAATGTCGACTTCGAGTTAAGTAAACTCAGATGCTGTCTAAAATCTCAAGCAACCGGCAATTCTCATCTGATGGAACTGAAATTACCCTAATAAAACCAGCCTAATGCTAAATAACTGTTGGATTTGGTTGCTTGATTCCTTTTATAATACTTGAAACGTTTAGTTGTACTTATTGTGATTGTTTTATACATTTTATATTTTCAAGCCTGGCAGCTAGGATCCGTAAAATAATAGAGTACTTTTTTGAGGTCGAAATTTTAAAATGATGTTCCGTTAGAAGTCATCGTAATTATAGTTGTTGACTATTATTGAAAGGAAACTCCCTTGTTACCAGTTTCCAATTCTAACTTTCTTGATTTGCTTCTCTCAACATCTCATCTATCTTATAAGAGCCCCAACAAGTGCACTCAAGGTCATTCATAACGTAGGACAATGCAGATGTCGATTGGCACAAGTAGTAATACATCATACTAGTAATATCCGCTTATCTCCACTGGATCGTCACGAAAAACTGATAAAACCGTCCAACCAAGACAACGTCTGTGGTCGTAATTGTTTCCATAGCTTTTTATCCGCACTTAACGTAATGACATTTTTGTATTTGCATGGCAATTTACTATCCGCTTCGTGTTTCATCAGCAGCTCAGGTAGGATGAAACCAGAAATGCCTAATGCGCACAAATTATCGGCTATCCATTCATAAAGTTACTGATTAATGATCCGCCCCGTAGGCAGACTCTAACTACAGCAAAATGCTATCAGTTTTTTCGCGTTATGAACCTAGAGTGGTGAACTTTGGTCATTGTTTTTTTTCATTATGGATAGTTGTTGGATATTAATAAAACTCTAATAAACGATTTCCAAACTAACTTAAATGGTAATTCGGACATAATTAGCATAGAGCTTGACATTATTGTGGATTAGTTGGACAGTTTGTTGATATCTTCATTCAGAACATTCATATATAACGGTTTATACAAGATCGCATCAGAGAAAAGTGTTGCGTCTAAAATCGTACTCATGACTAAAATTAATATGGGTGACAAAAATCAACAAAAGAACGGTTTCCTTTAGATTTATCTAGTTCATAATATAGCACGCTGTTAATTCTATTTCTACTACAAAGATTAAGTCACACAGCCTTCAGTCATTGCTGTGCCCGCAAAATTATTCGCCCGGAAGAGTCAAGCTATGTAAATGTTGGTGAGTGTAAGGTGTAGTTCAAGTTGATTCAAACTTGTGTGCCTAATTTCTATGAATTTACTGTACTCAAAGTACATTTGTGTATGATCGTAAAAGTCATGAGGCAGGAAACGATATTTGCTAAACTAATTTTCATGCAGTTATCACAGTAGAATATCTGATTTTTTCCTTATTTGTTTGAAAAATGGGTGAGTTGAACCCGAATTCCCTCAGTATCCTGTAGACCATGTGCACTATTGGTTTGGTGTCAGGGTTTTCCAATTTCCCCAGGTGGACCCTCCATATCCGCCAACACGGTTAAAGCGACGGACATTCGCTTTCCGTCCTCTCAATTTCGTAAACATCTGTAATGCCGCCAGACGGCAGTGAGTAGGAGTTCCCTAGGAGTGGTTGTATGTACGTGGCCATGTGAGAGCATTTGGGGGCTTTCTGTAAACAAATTCAACTCTCAAATTTCAAGTAACTCCAATCTGTTTAACTATTATGCCTAAAGACTTCTGGACCTAATTAGTCAATCCAACTACTCTCTTTTACTATCATTAGCGCTGCTACTATCCAAACTCTACCATTCGACTTACTAGTTTTATCTCTCTATACTGATGTTGTGTGACAAATGAAACGGATTCATATTTATCCCATATTCTACGTTTATTTTAATTGGTTGACTGCTCCGTTTGCCACTTCATGTTAGTTATAGCCTTTACAGTCTTACTGAGCGTTTAAGGCCTGATATCAGTCTGTAGAATGGTAGTGATCTATCGTCGATATTAGTAGTGTTTTTCCTGCAATCAATAAGGTAATTTTTAAGGTTCGTATATTTTTCTACTTTCTATATATTTTTTCCATTGTAACTACAACAGTTGTTTTTTCCATAAATTCATAATCCAGAGCTACATTTCCAACTCACAGAAATACTCGATGACCACCACGTATAACGAAATATTTGTATGAAAAAGTCATTTTACCATAGAAAATTTTTTCATTTGACTAGTTAATTCGTGTTTGTACTTTTTTAAGTCATTTAACTATAAGGTACTTCATAGCTTTTATTTTGTTTTTGAAACCCTAATTTTCTATAACCTTTTCCTTTGCTCACTTTAGGCTACTGATAATCCACGACAATCTTCCACTTGTTTGGAATCAGTTTCTGTTCATGATAAAACTGAAGTGCATGTTGGAAGTCTTGGTTTAGGAACAGCCTTAGCCGTTGCTTATGATCTATGCAGTGATAATGGAATTGTGAATCAGTTCAATACCAACGCTAATTTATGTGCCTCAAATCCTCAACTTGCAAATTTCCTTTCATTATCTGCAATCAAATCACCAAGTTCACAATTTTCGACTCATTGTCGTAGTACATCTCTATCTGACCAACATACATATAATATTTATTCTAATTATTTTACAAATAATTCATTATGGACATTACAACATACTGATAGTTACCTAACTCCTATCTCATCTGCATCTACAATATTTGATGGTTCTAATTCAATAAAATCACTCGCAAATGATAATGATCATTCCAAATCTATTTCTTCCACTTGTGATTTCTCAAATAAAAGTAACTATTTTCCTCATGTCACTCTTGATAGTAGTGTATGCCAACCAAATGATGTAGTTTGTTCAATTGGAAGCATGGTTGATGGTCATTACAATAATAATCACACCAATATTGATACCAGTCCACATGTTTCTAATTTACCTACTGCATCGAGTGGACAGAAGATTAATACAAATAATTCAGATAATGAGTGTATAGGTATTAATCAAGGAATTACGTCAAATAACTACGACAATAATAATATTGTTTTGAAGGAAACGACAGATACAAATCATGTTACTTCATCATCTACTACTTCTGTTGATGACAGTTTATATCAGTTATCTGAGGAAGAAATGAAAGAAATAGATACATCAGTGAGTTATTTTTCGTTTTATTTATATAGCGTATGAAAGCTTTTTAAAAAATTTTCTGTTTTACGTCTGTTCTCCACATGCTTTTGTCTAAAAAGAAACGCGTAACTATACCCTTTCGGTTTTTGATGTTGAAGCTAAAATAAACTGCGAGGAAGTAAAGTGGATTCTATAATCGTGGTGAAAACTAGACTGGCCATTATACTTATTTACCGATACATTTGTCTATTGGTATCATGTTAAGTTTGATTAACCTTCTCAAGAAATCACAACTTTCACTAAAAATTCGTCTAAATACTGTACGCTTGATCTGGAACAGCTGTGAATAAAGTGAAGATAGGTCCTTTTTGAGATTCGTAAATATGATTCGAATTATGCCTTTACCTCTTGGCTGATTAAAGGTATTCGAGAAAAACAAAGTAATGGTGCAACTTTTTTTATGAAAAAGCGTTTTCGCTGTGTTGTTGTGTTATGGCTTTTTATAATTTATATTAAAACTCTCCTATGGAACGATGTAATGCGCTGATGAATTAGTAATGTCCAGTGATACAAAGTAGCCAGGCGATGGTTGCACGCAAGACAGGATGAACACAAGCTTCCGAACAAACTGTACCCAAAGATATGACCACTGAGCAGAAGGATAGGTTTTTCTGACAAAATAGCATGCTTATATCATAAAATGTGAAACACCAGAATAAACGTATTAAGAAGCCATTCGAAAAATGAACTATTGGAGCATATAGCAAATATACCTCAATTACTCCAATGGAATCGATAGTCGATTTTGGGCCGTAGTTCTTATCCCATCACAGCATTTACTCGACAAAATGATGTAGGGTTTTTCCTTGGCAACACTCATAAAAAGATGCCACTTTTGACTCGATCCATATATTAGTTACGAATACGTTTAGTCTATCAAGATAACGAATAGAATAGGGGTTAATAGGTTGTACAAAATAATACACTATGACCAGCTGATGAAACCAACTTACTCATCGACGTGTAGACACACTGATCAATGGTTCCGTCTGGACTATTATATGCCTGCGAAACGTGGTTTATGAAGATACAACAGATATGCAGGCCTCACGTTTTGGAACACATGTCTTAAACGCACTGCACTGTATCTCAGATCAATCGGGTGACCAATACCGAGGTTAAAAATTGAGCACCGAAAAAAAATCCCAAATAGGTCGGTAAGGTTATGTATCTTCATCGAGTGGTCAAGGTATATTTTACACATGACTAACCACTATCAACCTCAACAGGGTTTTATAGCTGGTGTAGGAGTAAGTTAGAGAAAATCAATACATCACATTAATTCATAAAATCATTGACTTTTGAACTGAACCATGTTGGTAGCTGCAGGCGACCTGGTTGAGGTCAACCTGATAACCACAATCGGTGATAGAAGACATTGGGTAACATGGCTCGAAGTCGGTCACAATGGTCCAATTACACTTGTTGTTTATCTTACTCTGGTTCTTGAGTTCCAGCATTCCTTTTCTTTCTGCCCGTTTAAACCTTATTTTCAATGTTTAGTCTTTCTCATTGGCATTGCACTACTGTTCATCTTGTTCATCTTATCACGTTGTGCTGATGTGGTATGACAACTTGTACCGACCCACATCTGTGCCAAGGCTGAACTTTACTGACGAGTTTCGACTAACATAAAGTATAGACTCAGAACTTCCAAGCCAGTCATATCATTCGAATTATAAGAACTTTGCAACTTCAATCATCTACATTGTTTTTCAAAACTAAGATTTTTTAGGTTAAACAGATGAATCAGGAAATTAGTTCGCAATATCGTATTTAACTAATTATCATTGAATGTTACCATATAATAACATATTTTCCAGTGTAAAGATTGAAGTAAAGAACATTTGTGCTAGACTCTACATTGATCACGACTTGAATTAAAGCCAATAATCTCTTTTTGTTTAGCCTGTGCATTATACTACTGAAATTAGTATGTTCATAACACCTTGTCACACTTTAAAATAATGCAAGAATCATTGATCATCCTACATTTTATTTGCAAACTATTTCACAGAATTAATTTTAAAATACTATTCAAAATCCTTTAGATTTCTTCCGTCTTAACATATTTCAAACGTATTCCATTAATTAATAACGAGAGATATTAGATATGCACAGCAAGCGTGTCCCTAACATCCTATTTTGATTCGGGTACCACATCCCCCAAATGCCCTGGTACGCCGAGAGTGGGGAGAGTCCGTTCTCCCTCTCGAAATGCTCTCACACGGCCACGCGTGTGCAGCCTCTGCCAGAGAAGTCCTACTCATTGCCTTCTCGTGGCGGAGGTGTTGTTTACGAAAATGAGAGGACGAAAAGCGAATGTCCGGCGCTTTAACCGGATCCCAAACCAATGGTGCACATGGGCTCCAGTATCCTACGGGAACAAATGGCGTATGAACCAGTCGTTGTTCACCGGCTTCCATGGGACTGCATCTCCTTACGATGCTCCACTGCCTTGTGGATCAGACCCTCAGATCAAAGGCTCGGGGTGTGACCCCCTAAGAAAACCACCTGGTTCGGTTTGGGCACCCGGGCAGTATCACAGCCCTCATACATATCGAATGAGATTTGTGTGGCGCATATGTAGTTGGTGCCTCTTTGTACCAATATCTATGTGTTGAAATAAATAAATAAATATATTATTATTATTATTATTATTATTATTATTTCCACATTATTCACCCTCTTTTATACTTATACAGCGGCTCGTCTTTGGTGGAAATTCGACTGTATCTAAACGTTCTCGAGTCACTGTCCGGTTGAAAATTGTATGTTACCACCGAATACGAGGACTGAAGCAGTTTTTCTGAAACCACGTGCACCATTCAAACTGGCTGCCTTCAACGTTCGCACATTTATGCAGGTCGGACAACAGATAGGGCTGGCTATGTCTTTGGAAAGTCTTAATATCGATGTTTGTTGTCTATCCGAGACCCGTATTCAAGACTCTGGCGAAGTACTACAAATTCGATCTCCATCTGTCGCTTCGAAAAGCTTGTTTTACGTGCGCTTATCCGGGGACCCTGTGGCATCTTCGTCTGGTCTTGCTGGCGTTGGTGTCGCACTAAGCGCTAGAGCTGAGGCAGCACTAGTCGATTGGATCCCCATTAACAGTCGGTTATGTGCTGTTAGATTAGAAAGTTCCATCAAAGTGAGAAGAAATCGGCGTGAGAAACGATGTCTTTTCGTCATCTCCGCCTATGCCCCGACAGATTGCAGCCCGGATGCAATCAAGGATGAGTTTTACCACCAGTTATCTGTTCTTCTCCAGAAAGTGCGTTCGACAGATATTGTAGTACTAGCCGGAGACTTGAATGCTCAGGTCGGGCGTCTAGGCACAGAAGAGAGTCGTTTAGGTGGCCGATGGGGACTCGTTGGTCGCAGGTCAGATAACGGGGACCGTCTACTGCAACTTTGCACAGACCACAACCTGTTTCTGGCTAGCACTAACTTTCGGCACAGTCATCGCCGATGTGCCACCTGGCGTCCTCCCTCTGCATCTCAAGCCTGGACTCAGATTGATCACATCGCGATCAGCTACCGCTGGCGTGGTTGTGTACAAGACTGCCGCTCCTTTTGGAGTACCTATCTGGACTCTGACCATGCCTTGGTCTGCGCCAATCTTGCCTTACTTTTCAGTGGACAACGAAGTGACCGCCATCAACGGATTGATGTTAGCAAGCTGGTTGCAACTTCTGTTGCAAGTAAGTATCGAACCGAGCTAGCCTCTAGGCTAGCTACCACTCCACCGAAAAGTATAGATGAGCATTGGTTGCAATTGCATGACGCCATGAAAATGGCGGGAACAGTCAGTTGTGGGTTTGCGAAACGTCCCGCTTTTAAGCACTGGGTTTCTTCTGGTTCCTTACAACTCATTGAAGCCCGTCGGTCTACTCCGGGTGACCGTGAGTTTGACCATAAACGAAGGATGTTACGTAAGGAAATTGGGCAAAGCTTGCGTAAGGACCGAGAAGCCTGGTGGTCGATGCGTGCTAATGAGCTGGAAGCAGCAGCTGCATCTGGTAACTACCGGAAGCTCTTCCAACTCATCCGAGCCACTGGCAGCAAGAAGTCTGGTGTGAGTGAAACAATCTGCGAGGATGATGGGATGCCAATCACTAACATCCATCGACGTCTTGGACGATGGGCAGAATTTTTCGAAGGGCAGTTCAACTGGCCTGCTGCTCCGGCAACATCGGTCAGACTGTCCTGCCCTCCATGGCCGGTGACGACTGATCCACCAAATGAGGAGGAAGTCCGCAAGGAACTCCAACTCTTGAAGCGTTACAAATCACCTGGCCCAGATGACTTACCTCCGGCTCTTTTTAAAGATGGTGGTGACTTTTTGACTAAGGAATTGACGACGTTGTTTACAAAGGTTTGGGAACTAGAGAGTGTACCAACGTCATGGAATGAGTCGATAGTTGTCCCTATCTTTAAAAAGGGTTCACGTCGTTCCTGTAACAACTATCGGGGGATAAGTCTACTTCCGATTGCGTCCAAGCTATTGGCTTCCGTCATACTTCGTAGGTTGTTCAAAACCCGAGAAAGATTGACTCGCGAGGAGCAGGCTGGGTTTCGTTCTGGTCGAGGATGTATTGATCATATCTTCACCCTCCGCCAAATGTTAGAACACCGCCATACTTATCAAAGGCCAACAATCGTAGTGTTTCTTGACATCAGGGCTGCCTTGGATTCTTTGGAGAGGACTGTTCTGTGGGATTGGTTACTCATTGGTAGTCGGTTATATGCTGTTAGATTAGAAAGTTCCATCAAATCGAAATGAAATCGGTGTGAGGAACGATGTCTTTTGTCATCTTTGTCTATGCTCTTATAGATTGCAGCCCGGATGCGATCAATGATGTTTCTGGCTGGCACCAACTACTGGCATGGTCATCGCCGATGTGCTACCTGGCATCCTCCCTCTTCATCTCAAGCCCCTTTTCAGATTAAACACATTG